TTTCCTTTTCCTTTTCCTTTTCCTTTTCCTTTTCCTTTTCCTTTTCCTTTTCCTTTTCCTTTTCCTTTTCCTTTTCCTTTTCCTTTTCCTTTTCCTTTTCCTTTTCCTTTTTCCTGTTCCTTTTCATTTTCCTTTTTCCTTTTCCTTATTTCCTTTTCCTTTTCCTTATTTCCTTTTCCTTTTCCTTTTTTCATTTTCCTTTTCCTTTTTTTTTTTTTTAACTTTTTTTCCCTTTTCTTCTTTTTCTCTTTAATACTCTATACCCTATATCATACCATAATCCATCTCACAAATGCCATATAGTATGTTATAGTTTCCATCTAATGTCACAAAAGCATACAGTATCACAGTCTGGAGGTTTTAAACTTAATATATATTCCCTCCACTCCTTTATTTTTTTCCTCATGTTGTCTCCATCAGTCACTAACTCCTCCTCAGAACCCATTCTTCTTTAACCAAGGAGAAACTAATGGAAGTTGATGTTTCCCTCAGTGCATCCTCCTCCTTTCTTGTGTCTGTATGAACCCATATGTTATGCTTGTTGCCAGGTAAGTTATTCCACACTGCTCTCTTCCATATTGATCTCTTCTGAATTGACCTTTTCAGTGCCATGTGAACTAAAGCTCCTGCATGAATTAGTAATTTGATAACCAGAGTCTAAGCCAACTGCCTGTATTGTCATACAGTCAAATATTAACTGTTAAAAATCACGAGTGCTCCTTACATCAAATTATTTTCATATGTAAATGCAATCTGAAAGTTAAGCTACTTCCACCTGACCTATTAAAGTGACACAGTGACACAAGTCAGAGGCAGGTATGAGAGCTGGAGAGAAAAGGATTGGAGCTGTAGCTGTGCTTCATGAATGACAAGAGGTAATGATTAATGCAGGACACATTCCTGAGGCCCTGTAAGCATTACCAATTCTCAGTGGCCTGCTGAAAGAGGCGTGTTAAATGTTTCCAAACCACTTTGCAGGGAAGTGGGGGCGATGTAGTTGAAAGACACGCCTGAAGAGAGGTCCTGATAGGATCTCAGAGATCTTTGTCACTTCATTCCTTCCTCTTTCCTCTAGCCACAGGTGACCCACAGCTGCAGGGTGAGAAATTTCATCCACACATCTCCAAGCACAGAGGTGCTACAGCAGTGGATCTGTGCTCTTCAGTTTGTAGCTCGTGGTTGGCTTGAATTTCCTGCAGAGAAGAGGCTGAGGCTTAAAGCAGAGTGCAAACCAAGCTACCAGCATATGCCACCCTCTGTCTACATTAATAGAGAAGACATAGCAATGTGTTAGGTTTCCCTTTCCTCATGAGATAAAAATAAAGAGCAAAAAGACTATTTAACTGTTCATGTGCTGTTTCTATTGCAGGGTAGTCCTAAACTAGCACAGAGTGGAGTGCATGCTTCGGAAGGCAAAGCTAGTCATGGCTGAAGGAAAGTAAAACTAAATACATAAAGAAGATAAGGAGGACAAAAATGGGAGGGAGTGGCTGTGTGGGGGGTGGGAAATCAGTAACAAAAGATACAAAGGTAAAGAAAAACCCAGAAGCAGTGAGACACCTCTGCACAACACACACCCTCTCAATTCCTCTTCCCCTGACAGTGCTAAAGTACAAAGCTGGGAAGGATGGATGGAGAGCCATCGCCCGCGGGAATAACCTGGAGGATCGGGACTGTGGCCCCCTTTGAAGCAGCCTCACAACCTGGATGCAATTTTCATTTCCTGCAGGGAAACTCAGCCTTGTTCTTCTGAAGTGGATAAACCAAGCCTCATAAAACTAATTATGGGAGGTGGTTTGACATGAGAAATTAAAAGTCAAGGTTTGGCCTCTCTGATGCACACAGTAGTGAAGCAGGGGCACTACAGATTAATTTCCCTTTTCCTTGAGGTTTGGTTTGTTTTTTTTTTTTTTTTTTTTTTTTTTCCCCTGAAGAGTTTTGAAACTGCTGTGAAATTGTCCTGTTCTCCAGAGCCAAAGGTAACTGTAATTCAGTAGCATTCCTACATGGATGTCGTTAATAAAATATTTGGGACTCTTTTGTGATAAACTATCAATTTATTAACTTCAAGCCCATAAAATTAGAGTGATAAAATGCAAGTGTTCTTTTCTGATTAAGTTTTGGGGGATGGGGAGGAACTCTGATAATATCTAGTTCATTGATGCTAGTGAATTATCAAGCTATAATTGGCTCCACATTCTGTATTAGCAAATATTGTTACTCAAAAATACTACCGTTTAAGTGAAAAGCCATGCGGTATTACCAAAACTCTTATTTAAAAGTGTTTAGCTCCCTCTGACTGTCTTTTTTTAATGGGGAAAATACCTTCAAAGAATAAAGATGTTTACATGGCTTTTATGGTGGCCTTCTACAAACGAGTCTTCTGTTTTAATTTTAACATTTTTAACCAATGTGCTGTGTGGAGCACGTATGTCTCTAATGAGATAGTCGATAGAGTTCATTAGTTTATATTTTAAGAGATGAAATGTTGCTGACTATAGCTGCTAAAATGTAATTGATAATGGCTGAGTAGGGAAAAATTATCATTTGGGTATTTCAAGCTATACATAGAATAACCCCCAACTGCTCACAAGGATAGGAGTTTCCTGGGAAGGGGCATGATGAAGAAAATGTGTGCTGTTGAGGTGAGCCTTGAACGGTAAATGTAGAGAGAGTTCAATATTCAGAGCAACTGGAGGTGAGTCCATTGGTCTAGTTTTGGGTGGAGGGGTAAGGGGAGAAAATGTACTTTTTCACTGTAAAGAAAAGCAGCTGATAAGACCCCTTTCTGCATGTGCTTCACTGTCCTGGTTTGAGTCCAGAGGGCAACTGAGCACCACGCAGCTGCTCACTCCCCCCTTCTCCCTCAGGAAGGGGAAGGAGAAAAATAAAGAGAAAGGCTCCAGAATTGAGATAAGGACAGGGAGGGATGACTCACCCCTTACAGTCACAGGCAAAAGGCAGACTGCTGAGGGGAAGAAAAAGAACATGAATTTAATTCAAATTATAACATCACCACTTAACAGATAGTAGGACAATGAGAGGTGTTACCACATCTTAAAAACACCTTCCCCCCACCCCTCCTTTCTTCCAGTGGCACAGGGGCCAGGGAATGGGGGTTGTGGTCAGTCCGCTGCTCCTTCCTCCTCAGGGGGAGGACTCCTCACACTCTTCCCCTGCTCCAGCACGGGGTTCCTTTCACTGGAGACAGTCCTCCACAAACTTTTCTCCGACTTGCCTCCTTCCCATGGGCTGCAACTCTTCCCAAGCGTGAGACACCCCCGCATGTTGCAATTCCCACTGCCGAACTACAACAGCGGGGGCTTCTTCCCACAGAGTCCCGGCCTCCTTTGAGTGTAGTCACCTGCTCTGGCGTGGGCTCCTCCACAGGCTGCAGGTCTGCTTCTGCTCCACCAGCGAGCTCACCACAGGATACAGGGGGTCTCTGCTCTAGCACACCTCTCGCCCTTCCTCCTCCTCCTTCCTTCCACTGACCTCAGCATTCACATAGGTGTCCTCCTCACAACTCCCACTCCTCCACCCAGGTTCCCCTTCTTAAATACGTTATCACAGAGGCATAGCCACCATCGCTAATTGGCTGGGCCTTGGCGCAGAGGCAGGTCCAACTTGGAGCTGTGGGAGCTTCAAGAAACTTCATCACAGGGGCCACCGCTGTAGACCCCTCAGCCACTACCAGAAACCCTGCTACACGTACAAACCCAGCACACGCACAATCCCATCTCTTTTCCAGGTTTATTTGTGCCGAGACGGTCTGATATTACCATGTTGTCACACTGTGCTGAGGTGGCCTGTTATCCTGGGGATGCGACTGTCCCCGGGGCGGTTCCGAGATGCTGTCAGTGGCACCGTGTGGGCACGGTGCAGGGCTCCAGCTTGGGAACCGCAGCGTTTTGCGCCCATTTCTGCCGGCTCGTTTAGCTTCTGAGCTGGGGAAAGGCACAGTCTGGATCACTGGGAACAGCTACCAGCCTCTGCTCCAGAACAGACCCAAATCCACAGTTCCAAAACCAATTTATTCCAAGTGGGATTGCAAGGCTATTGTACATGCTGGCGTACAGATAGATATTAAGCCAGTTTTGCCAACTGTTTCATGCACAAGGAACGTGGGGCCAATCTGCAGAATTAAATATCAATATCCAAACAGGGACATTTGGGGAGAATCTTAATAAATTAAAAATAAAACCGCACATTAGAAGTCTGTGAGGTTTTTACAGGATTAGGCTTTCTCTTTCTACTGCTCCACAGCATTCTGCGCAACATGTGGGCATTATATGTATTTTGGTGGTAGGTTAAGGAATAGATGAGCTGTATTTGGTTATTCTCCCAGACAGTCAGTAATAATAATTTGAATGAGGAAGATTTTAAAAAATGCATCTGGCAATTCTGTGGGTGTGTTTTGGTTTGTTGTTTGGTTTGTTTTGTTTTTTTTTTTTTCTTTTAAAAAACCCCAACAATATAAAATAAGTTGGAGGCACCAGAAACAACTTTGAAATAATTATGAAACCAATAAATAACCCCCGAGCTCTAACGTATGCAGATGAGTTTCCAGAGGAAGCAGCCAGGGCTGTGTGTGCAGCAGAAATGGGGAAACCTTGGCAGCTGGGGTGGGGGGGATAGCGAGCTGCTGCAGGGGCTGGGGGGGACCCCAGAGCCCCCCGGATCCGCATGGTGTTCGGTGCTGCCTGCGCAGCCGTGGGACCCCACGGAGGGGCTCGTTTGTTCCACGCTGAGGAGCGTGGGGAACACAAGCCAGCACGGACAGGCTGCTCATTTATTGCAACGGTCAACAGAATTTTCCTTGCCAAAAAAAAAAAAAAAAAAAATCCCAACCTCTTTAAAAAGAAAAAAATAAAAACAACTCACAACTCTTTTTTTTTTTTTTTTTTTTTTTTTTTTTTTTTTCCTCCCCTAAGAAAACAGAGCCCAGCTCATCAGCAGCTCATGCAGGAGCAGGAGGGGTTTTGGAGTTAACTGCATGCAGGAAATCTCTCACATCCTGAGTCCCAGCTCGCTCCTCTCTGTAACTGTATATTATGGTGCTGCTCTCCAGCCCCAGCTGATGAAAGTTTGTCTCCCTCAGTCTGGGCTAAGATGTCAAAGCGTCTCCATGCAGAGCAGCAGCGCTTCCCTCCTCCGCACCCCCCAGCCCAGATTTCCATGCTGCTGCTGAGCCTCATCTGGCTCTTTTTAGCATCACCCAGAGCTCAAGGTAAGTTAATGATATAGAGATATACATATATATATATATATATATTTTTTTTCTTCTTTTTTTCTGAAATACTTCCTCACCCTACACTCCATTTTAAGGGGACAAGCAACACAGAAATGACTTGAACAAAGTGCGCGCACCCAGCAGCACTCGGCTGCGCGGGGGCCGCTTCCCCCGGCCGCTCCCGGCGCTGATTTTGCGCCCCCCGCCGCGCTTCTTCCCGCCCCCGCGCTGCCTTCCCCCCCCCCCCCCCCCCCCAGCAACGCTCCGCTCCGCGCTGCGAGGCGGGGGGGGGGGGGGGGGGGGGGTGCTGTCCCGGCTGTGGATACGCGGAACCACGCCGGTTTGGGACCGCGTAACTCCCGCTCCTCTGCGCGGCGTGAGGACTTCCAAGCCCTTCCCGGAAAAAGTTGGATGTGAACCCCCCCGCTCCCCGGCACCCCCCCCCCCCCCCAATGCCGCCGGCGTCTCTGCCCCCCGGGGCTGGTCGCGGGGACCCCCCTGTGGGGGTGAGGGTGCTGGTCGCGGGGACCCCCCCCCCCCGTGGGGGCGAGGGGGTTGGTCCCGGGGATCCCCAAGGGGGGGAGGTGATGATGGGGTTGATCATGGGGAACGCACCGTGTATTTGAGGGAGTTGGTCCCGGGGATCCCCCGGGGGGGGGGGATGAGGAGGGTTGGTCCCGGGGACCCCCATGGGTATGAGGGGGGTTGATCCCACGGACCCCCCATGGGGGTACCCCGTGGGGTCCCCGCTTCGACAGGCAGGGCCCGGGGAGCCCTTCTCCCCCCGGGGGTCCCCTGCAAACAGCCACCCGCGGGCTGGGACTGAATTCAGGGTTTGAGGGTATGGTCAGAGTTCAGACTCTCCTCTTTAGCTGGGAAGAACGGCCTGAAAAAGCCAAGCAGTGACCGTTAAAAGCGGCCTTGCTGGGGAAAAGTTTACTCGCCAGTACGTTCATTCAAAGTGAGCGCAAGTCTGGGATCGGTGGCTTCGGTTTTAAAGATGTTTTGCAGTACTGGCTCTGTGCCACCCGTGCTGCAGATGGGGGAATAGCCTAGAAAAAGGGACTTGTCTCTTTGTAGGGCAAGTCTGAGGCTTACTGGAGGGCCCAAGCCCTGTCCCCTTCATTAAGCTGCAGCTGACAATGCATATTTTATGTGAGAGAGGAAGGGGGATTCTCTTATATAAATACACGTAACAGCACTGAAGAGTGCGTGTGTCCCTGTGTGTTACTACAAACTCTTGTCTTGGGTCTTGTTTTTTTTTTCCCTTGTAACTTTAAACTTTGTAAATGTTTGCTTGTCTTCAAATTTATGCACAGCAACTTTCACTGGGACTTTGGGTCTGGACTTGCGAAGAGAAAGACTTTATCGTGTTAGACAGCATGTTGAAATCCTGGGATAGCCTGAGCAAGTTGTTGCTTTTAATCAAGCACCTGGAATTTATGTTAATGAATTAACAGGAGTTGAAGCTTTGCTTTGCCTTTGTGAGGGGTCTTAATTTCTCTTCATCACCATTTGCATTTATACCACATCAGCATATTGGGGATAAAGGCGGCAGAAATTCTCAGGTAAATGAGGAGAAGTAGGTCCCCGGTTCCCCTGTGGCTGTTCCCTTTGCACGGGTTGTGGGTGGGTTTGTGTGGGTGGAGGCAGCACGTACCCCTTTTCTGAGCACGGCCCCCCCCATGTTTTGGAGGTGTGCTAGGACGAAGGGTAAACTTGACTATACATACAGGAAAGTTTGAGGTTAAGATGCTTCAAGCATTGACGTATGAAAAAGAAGAAATGAACGTACCTCAAAGTAATTGTCCCCACAATATGAGGGCAACCTGTGGGTGACTTAGATCTAGCATACAGATGAGAGAGTGGAATGGTAAGTGGGGGTGGAAATCCCGTTACCTGTGCTTTGGGATTCCCTAAGAGCCAAGCTGAAGCTCTAAAGTCATGTTTGCACTGATGAATTCAGCTCTCTGTAAAGTCTGTGTCAGTTGTTCATCTTTATGGTGCCCATCTCTGGATGTCCAAGCTTGAGCAACAGCGGTACTTGCTGATGTTTGCAGCTCAGCTGGATTTTGGGTTTGTTGCTACACCTCTCCACCTCCTTTTCTTTCCACAGCATGTCTATAACTTGCTCTTTTGCGTTCCCAGCCAGCGTGCTCGCGAGCATCCTCTCCTTTAATTTTTTTTTTTTTTTTTTTTTTTCCTGTGGAAGTAGAGAACAGCTTTAGCTTTGCCAGAGCATGTGCTGCTTTCTTGGTCGCAGAGGTGCTGAAAGTTACGGTCGCGTGCTTCTAGACCCAGCGAAGCTGCCTGGTGACGAAAAGTCCCCTTAGCTGTGCTGGCACGCAGCTCGACCGGGCGTTTTGAAGCTTTGCAACTTCCACCTCCGCCGGCTTTACTGCTGCGCCTGCTCTGGGCCCGGTGTTTGTGATTTGAGGTGCTGCCAGGACATCCTAATTTTTACATAAACACGGGCTTAGTGATTAAGACAGACGTTTAGGTTATGCTATGCCTTGAAAACTGGGTTTGAAATGTGGCGGGAGACATGCATCAGGTGGGACTGCCCTACTAACAGCTCTAATATTAAACAGAAATTATCAGGTTATGAGCTAGATAACTTAAAAGTAGCCTTGCTGCTCGCTTTTAGTTTCCTTTCCAATCTTTCTGGTTTTACAATTGCCTTTTCCAGTTTTCAGTATTGCTAGCTCTTTGTTGCTGGATAAAGGACTTCATGGACAAAAAGGAAAACTAACTGAAGTAGCAGCCTCAACAAAGCAAAATTAGCTGTGGTATCCTGGTGGAAGATAATATCTAGTAGGATGAGATCTAATCTTGCAGGTTTAGTTAAATGCCCTAAAAATCTACATCTGCATAAGCTTTTTGCAGAGTCAAGGCCTTCCTGTATCTGCAGGGCAGACAATGACAGTGATGGTGTAACCTCCAAATTAGTGTGTGTGTCTGTAAACTCTTAAATCTCTTTTGGATAGTAGGTGTTGGCTGGAAGAAGAGTGGAAAAATAAAAATCCTAAAGTTGCGGTTGAAAATTCTGTGCCCTCAATTAAAATAACTTTCTGTCAGATTTTATTTTTGTTACTGATTGCAACTGCATTGGCTGTAATGGAAATAAATTACAGAAAAAGAAATCTTTCCTCATTTCTTGCTTTAAACTGATCTCTCCAACACACTCTGTGCTTCAGAGCTCACTTTCAAATACTATCCTCTTTCAAACTGTTCCAGCGTTTGTGGCAGATATTTACGGTCTGTGTATAATCACCTTCTTGTCTGATGATTATCCCTATCAGGTCCCCTGCAGATAGCCTGGCATGAGCTGCCACTGTCCGTGGGGCTGCATAGATCCATGCCAAAATACACCAGCTGAGGATATTATGCCCCCTCTTCAAATCATGTTCGCATCGTTAACTCTCCCGCTTGCTGGAGAGCCGCTGGGTTGTTCGCTGGTGTTTTGTTGAGCTTCTCCTCTCTTGCTTTTGTTGAGATTTTTGGAAAGGTCTCCACCCAGCCACAAAGAGCATCCTTGAAGCAATGATTGACGGGCTACGTTTTGGGCGGCTTTTCATCCCGCCCGCAGCACGGCGCCTGCCCCGGTGGCACTTCTTTAGTGACACATGAGTGACTGCAGCAGATCATGGCTGTGTTTATCTGTTACTATCTGTCACGCTCAGGCTGTCAGCTGCCACCGATGCTATTGATCATGAAATTCTGTTTTAAAAAGGCTGAATTCATCTAAAGGCTCATTTGGACCTCCACCAGCCTCGTTCAGACCTCGCGTACCCTAATCCTGACGGATTTATCACTAGCGGGCCCTGTGTTTCTAACATCTCTCACATTGCCAGTGTAAATTGTCCAAGGAGTCCAGCTGGGCTTTGTTTTATTAGTATTGATGTGCATCCTTCTGGGCAGCGCGGTTGGTGCTCCAGGGCTGCGGCGTTGCAGGCGGACGGCGCGCAGCCCGTGTCCCGGGCGTTTGAACAGCCCAGCTTCTGCTGGGGGTGCTGCCAGGCCCCCCCGTCTGAGCGCCTGGCTTCTGCAGGACTGCGTGCTGGAGGGCTGCCGGGGTGGGGTTTTCTGTCTTGGCTTTTGCTGTGAAAGTTGGAAAGCAAGAAGTGACGTTTCTAGGGTGTCTGCAGTTAGATCTGAAATGCTGTTACGTTTGTGTGGGCAGGGTCCGCTGCACCAGCAGACGTCTCACGCAGCATCCAGTCCTGATTAGGATGCGAGGCCTTTCATGCTATTCATATTGGAGGGATTCTTTTATCTAATCCCTTTTTCTGATTTTTTTTTTTTTATTTTATTTTCCTCTACAAGTTCTTGTGTTTTACTCCACATCATCGCAGATTTTGCTTTTCATGTTGCATGAACCTTGTACTTCCATTTCGAGTAGCTTTTCAGATTACTCCAAGGACAAAAGCACATCACGTCCAAAATTGTATAATACTGAAGGCCTAAATCATGCCTGCAGAAGTTTCTCTTAGGCCCTACTGAATCTCCAGAGCAGATCTATGACAAACTAAATTAAAAATTCATGGCTTGGGTAAATCTGTTACAGGGTTACAGCTGATTCTTGATCGGACGGTGCAGTCCAGAAGGACAATCCCTTTTGTTTCTGGCTAACAAAGAGCACAAGTGCTTCAATTGTATTAAATTCTTATCTTTTCAGTTAAAAAATCTCACTAACTGAGAAAAGGTATTGTTTCTTAGGAGACCTCTGCTCCAGGATGTTGACCCTTCTCTTTTTAGTGTCAGATAAGAGCTTCAGACTCCATTGACATCTCGTGTGATGTTGGCATTGGTGCTTCAGGAAGTGACCTGATGAACTCTATCATCTAATCAGAAATGCTGACTCCTCTGTGAAATAACTTGATGTCTCATTCCTTTTTTTACACCTCATTTATATGAGTTTGAATCTTCCCACCTTTTGGAGCTAGGATGAGAAATATTTGGTTAGATTGGGGGCAGGGGATCGTCAATTCACAAGG